CAAACTGTGGTCCCTGTGCTTGCCTAAGCTTGCCTAAGCAGGAGCTTTAGTTCACTGAGCTATCTCACTGGCCCAAATCTTTTCTTTTAGGTGGTGGGGGTGGTACTAGGGATTGAATTCAGGACCTTGCGCTTGCCAGGCAGGTGCTTATGCCACTGAGCTATCTCCCCACCCTAATCAGCTCTTTCTGTTTGGTTATTCTTTTATCAACATTTTTCACTTTGTGATGTATGCTTTCTTCTTTTTTGTATAAAATTTAAGGCAGTATTGTATAGTGGTTACAAACCCAACCACTGGAGCTAGACTACCTGGATACAAATCCTATTTATTTCATTTATTAGTTGTGAGATTAGAAGTCAATATGTCTTGCTGTTGCCCCACTTTCTTATCTATAAAACATGAATAATAAGTTCTTTTGGCAAATAGTTATCACAAGGATTAAATAAATTGATACCAAGAACAATGGCTGACACACAGGAAGAGCTTAAGAATATTTTTTGAATGAATTACATGATTGAAATGTTTAATCTCAATTTTTTTTTTATTTTTTATGTGTTTAGTACAGGGTCTATAGAGTCTCACTATACAGATCAGACTCATAGTTTTCCTCTAGTTTTCAGCCTCCCAAGAGCTGGGATTACAGGGGCACACCACCACACTCAGTCTCAATCATCATTTTTAACTGCCCAATTTTATCTCTTCCATGTTAGCTGTTGTTTTTCATTTCTTTTAACTCAAAAAGAAAACAAAACCTTTCAACACATCTCATTTCAGAGATATATAGCTTTGTTGAATTTGTGTTTTTCATGAAAGATTAAATGTTTTATAATACAAAAAATTATATTAATGCTTATTAATTTTATAAAATTTTAAATTGCATATTTTTTATCCTTTATTCATCTTCTTTAGGGAAAGCAGTTACATAAATACTAGACTTTTTTTTTCTCTTCTCTTTTTAAAATTCTGGGGATTGAACCCAGGATCTTGCACATGCTAGGCAAGTACTCTACAACTAAGCTACACAATTCTTATTTTGAGATAAGATCTCACTAAATTTGACAAAACTTTTCATCCTCCTGCCCCAGTTTTCCTAGTAGCACCTATCTCTCTCTCTCTCTCTCTCTCTCTCTCTCTCTCTCTCTCTCTCTCTCTCTCTCTCTCTCTCTCTCGTATTGGGTACAGGGTCTCACTGTGCAGCTCAAACTGGTAATGATCCTCCTGTCTCAGCCTCCCCAGTGCTGGGATTATAGGTGTGCGCCACCACACCCAGTCTCGGTGGTCTGCTCAGCATGCCTCGGGTGGGGCTGGTGCTGTATGTGGTGCCAGGGATTGAATCTGGGTCCTTGCACTTGTCTAGGCAGGTGCTGAGACCGCTGAGCTATCTCTGCAGCCCCATTATTTTCTCTTTAATTCTTTTTAAATTCTTCCTTGCCCTTCCATTTTGCATTTTCTTTTTTATTTTCTTCCCTGTCCCTTCCTGTGGTTTCAGAATGTCTCTTTTTTTTGTGTGTGCTGTTTCCAGAACATCTCTGTTGCTAAATAATCTTTGTTGCTTTGTTGCTAAAATAGTTTTGTCTCCTCTGCTTCTTCTTGAGCTTTACTGCATTTTACTCTGCTGTTGACTTCCCATATATTCCCAGAGCTCTCTGCTTTAAGTTCTTGGTTTTTTTAGCAGTGATTACGGCATCACACACACACACACACACACACACACACACACACACAGATACTTGTGGTAGTGGGGCTTGCCCCGAGGCCTGATGCATGCTACGTAACACTCCACCACCAAACAACCTCCCCATCGCCATCCCCTTTTGAAAAAGGGTCTTACTAATGGATATTTTTAATATATGGGTCATTTGGTGATAATTTCTATATGCTGTCCTGAGGCCACAGGTTTGTTTTTTCCTTGTGAATGTATGTTCAAACCACTTGTGGTTGTAATTAAAATCTAGTAGTGCTTTCTTTGTGTAATTCCTTCCAGTTTTGTTTTTTGATATTTATTCATTCTGGAGTGAAGTGAGTTCTTCTAGGACTAGAAGTTTACAGTGGACTTACATGGGAAAGGAACAAAGACTACATTTTGGTTTTTTTTTTTTTTTTTTTTTTGGTACCAGGAATGAACTCAGGGCCTGGTGCTTGCTGGGCAGGCGCTGTGCCACTGAGCTACATTCCCAGCCCAAAAATGATATTTTGAGTTAGCAGGAATTCTTTATTTTGACAGAAAATATATGTGAGAGAGATTTTTTTGCTCTAATTTCTCAACCCAAAGAGAGCAGTAGGGAAGGTCTACTCCACTGTTTGAGTCTCTTCCCTCTAGCTAGCCTAAATCAGACTGCTCCCTACAAATGCTGCTTCCTAGGGATTTCTTATCCAGTCCCAACTAGTTTTTTCTTCTTTAGGCCAAACTAGCTCTGGGCACACTCTTGGATCAGTCTGCACGCCCATCCTCACGGCCCCAGCGAAGGATTGCTGGTTTGCCCCCGAGGATGTTCCGCGTCCTCTGCTAACTGTCCTGCCAGCTTTGTCTCAGATCTGCAGCGCGCAAAGCATCCTAGGCATCTACCCTGTCTGGTTTCACCTTCCTGTATTTGGCAGCAACTCCTCACACATTATGGGGTTTCAGATGTCTTCTAGATTGGTCAGAGTTGGAGTTTCCTATCTGCTTCTCCTTTTTCTAGTGAGTTATCCACAGAACTGGCAATCTCAGAATGCTTCTCTTTTTCCTAATTGCCATTGGGGTACCTCTATGAGATGAGAGAAAAACACAGGCTTTTCTCTATAGCTAAAACTGGAATGTCTAGCCGATTAATTACTCTAACTCTAAAACTCTCTAAAATAACTCAGCTTTTACTTACTAATTCTGAAGATATAAAGGGTAACATAATTTATCAGCATACCTTAAATGTAGCTATACATTTAATCGAAGAGGCTATGTAATCGAGGCCTCTTCATTTAGAGTGACTGAGACCCACAATTGGTGGCTTAGTTGGAAAGAAAGAAGTTAAAGTGGGTATGCAGAATTGTGTCTTGCGGGGATAGAGATACCTGCCAGGCAAGCACAAGGTCCTGAGTTCAATCCTCAGGAGGGAGAGAGGGAGAGAGGGAGAGAGGGAGAGAGGGAGAGAGAGAGAGAGAGAGAGAGATCCTAGAATTGGGTTTTGTCAGCTTGGCTAAGCTAGGAAATAGATATCTGGGAATCCCTTTCCCCATATGGTTCTGGCTTACAGGTCGCAGGAGGGGAAGATGATGCAAGGTTTGGAAGGTACAGGTGAAGACACAGCGTTACCCTGGAATGTGGCTACAGTCCAAAACCACTGTGCCTGACACGGGGGCGGGAGGACATGAAGTCCTCCTCTGCCCCCGGCTCTCCTCTGTTCAGGGTAGGCTTTCTTCCTGATTGCAGGCCCACAGCCAGATGCTGACTACACAGCCTCTCCAGGAGGCGCAAGGGTGGCAGCTCCCTGCCGCGCTCCCGCAGGCTCCCACGCCTCTGTGGCCCGCTCACACCCACGTCTCAGGACAGCGGCTGACAGACGCGGTGTTCCTCACCTCCCCTTAAGACCTTCATTTTGCCAGTTCTTTTCATTCTCTTAGGTATTACCTAACCGGGCAGGGGGATTGTAAAAACATTTACTAGAAAAAGAAGAGATCTATTTCAATAAGCTTATATCTACCTGCTAAGAAATGGTAATAACAAGGCAATTTTTTACAGTGGTAATAACAAGTCCAGGAACAACAGTGGCAGTATGACTTTGTATGTATAGAGTTACCTAAAACAACTGCTGGAACTCTTATCACTGTTTTTCACAATGGCCCAGTATACGGAGGTGTTACCACTAGGTAACGTTGTTTTTCCTACGTTCCTAGCACGTGCAGACAGCCCCAAGAACACATGGATATGGCAGGAATAACCAGCATGGTCTCTTCAGCCACTTTGAGATGAGTCAGCCCCATTTGGCAGAGACAAAAAGATCAGGGAGACAAATTTCAGCTGTAATCGGAAGAGTATTATACTATAATATTGCACTTTTTCTGGTTCTCTATAATTTGAGCCTGATCTCTCTCTTCCACCACTTAGACAAAGGCTGGAACCTAAGGAAATTGCGGATGCCCTACTTTGCTGATGCCTTCAATAATGCAAGGTGGAACATTGGTTTCTTGCTTGTCACAAATCCATGCTTCCCTGGCGTACTGCAGTAATAGACCACAGCCAGCAATTTACTCCACAGCACGTACTTTACCTCGCTTCCAAGTGCATTCTGAAGAAGCATGGATTTTGTGTACCCTTATACTCACTTAAAATATGTGTCTGAGATCATAAGAAGTACAGTCAGTTTCTGGGACATTCTGGCTATGTCTTCCTGTTTGAGTTATTTAGATATATACATACAAACATCTATTCGGGTGGAACTCTTACCAGACCTAGAAGAATCGAATTGCGACTGAAGTCTCCCCCATCACTGACACCCCCACATGAGTTCTACTTTTTGACCTTACTTATGTTTTGATTGAACACCACTCTTGGGTTGATCAGCCTCTGTGATATGTATTAACTTTCCCATTAATTGCTGATAAAAGTCAGAGAGCTTCTATTTCTTTGCTCATTCAAGTCATTAAATGGTGGGGAGGGGGTGGGCCTGGAGGGACACAAAAGTAGTCTGGTGGAGAGGCTGAGGCAGGAGGATTCTAAATTGTTCAAGGGCAGCCTGGGTGACTTTATGAGACCTTGTTAAAAAACAAAACAAACGAATAAACAAAAGACAGAGCTAGGGACATGGCAGGAATAATGAATGTGGCTCAGTGGTTAGGTACTTGCCCACGAGGCCCTGGGATCCATCCCCAAATTTGCCCTAATTTTAGCACTGAGGGGCAACTAAATGCACTCAATATATTGTCACATTTCCCTCTGGCTTTGCCATTCTCCTTCCAGCTCCTTTTGTATGTGTTTCTCCTCACATAATTAAGAGCAGTTTTCATAGTTACTTTCTTTTTTCTTCACTGTTTAAGTCTATATGACAGCCTATCTCACAGCAGGGAGAGTGCTGGAATAGGTTAGACTTCCTTGCTGGAGCAAGCTCACATTGTGCCTGACTGCTTTGATAATCTGTCACAGAGTGTGGCTTACAATCATATTTACTTCTAACCCTCACTCACACAGTCATACTGAAAAGAGTCTCCTGTTACCAATTCTTACAGGTGGTCCTGCCCTTCAGCCCAACAGCTCCCTCAGGCCCTGCGCTTCACGGTGCCTCTGTTCTACCCATACTCTGGCTACAGAGATGAGGGGTCCACACTTCCACAGGAGTCTAAAGATCTCAGGTTCTGAAAAATAGCATGCACAAAGGCCCCCGCCGAGACCCCTTCCTCCAGACCTGCCCCTCGAGGGCACACTGCAGAGTACTGCGTGCTCCCAGGGCCAAGATGAGCAGCAGGTGCCCGTGGACCTCGGATGTGTCAGCAAGTCCCCACACGCATGCGTGCTACAAGCTGGAACACAGCTGAGAAGAGTGGGGCCTGCCTCTCCCCAAGCACCACCTTCCAGTTTGACATTCCAGAGAGTCTGAGCAGTCTAAATGTAAACCTGGCCTCTCAGATCAAGAAGAAGGTGTACTTATCCAACTAGAAGGATGAGACATACTTTAACTCTAGCTTGATTTATGACTTTTTTAGTATTCAGACATATGTCCTTTTGTTCTGGGGCCCCCAAAATGTTGGGGGGGCTGGCAAAGGAAATATATCTTTATGTAACAGACATGGTTATTCTTTTACTGTTGAATACCTGACTAGTTCTTACATTACTGACTAAAATGATGTAATATTTTCCTTCACTGCTTGTTCACTCTTTCTTTGTTTTTTTTTGAGACAGGGTCTCATTATATAGTTCAGGGTTATCTTGAACTCACTATGTAGTCCATGTTGGTCTCAAACTTGTGGCCTTCCAAGTATGATCCTCCTGCCTCAGCCTCCCAACTGCTGCAATTACAGGCATGTGCCACCATGCCTGGTGTCTGCTGACAAACTCCAAGAAGAAAATACTGGGTGAAAGAGTATAAACTCTTAATAACCAACATGCTTAACTAATGATTGGATTAACAGGTGATTTTCCTGAAATGCAATTTCTTCGTTTCTAGCCTCTAACAACATGCCAAAGCCATTTACCTATATTAATTAGTTACAAAAGTCAAGGCTATTTAAAGCCTTTTTGTTTGAATATAGGAATCTGACTCACAAAGTATCCTCTGATATGAAATCCATTAATTTTCAACCCTTAAAATTGGGGGGGGGTGGTCTCATGTTGGGCAGATAGGTTGGCAGTTTCAGCGCCTGCCTTGAAAGTGCAAGGACCCAAGTTCAATCCCCAGTACCACATGCCGGCCATGGGCTAGGCATGGTGGCTCATGCCTGTAATCCCAGCACTTGGGAGGCTGAGACAGGAGGATCACTTTGAGTCTGAGCTCACGTGAGACCCTGTGCCAAATAAATAAATAAAAAGATTTAAAATTGGAGGTCTCAACCTTTAAAACTGTTGATTTCCTGCCACACTCGTCCAAGGACTATTGGTGAAAATAAAGTTGTTTGGGCACAACCCCACTGACGCATGTCCGTGTTCCCCAGAGCTGCTTTCACACCACATGGTAGAGCTGAGTCATTCAACACGGACCATATGTGGCTGGCCTACAAGGCCTAAAATACTGACTTAGTTGGCTTTTTACAGAAAACATTTGCCAACTTCTAATCTAAAGACTATCACAAAGGATAAACCATATGCTCGGCACAGTGACGCATGCCTGTAGTCCCAGCTGGCTGAGAGGCTGAGATGGGAGGATCCTCCAGCCCAGGAGTTTGAGACCAGTGTGGGCAACATTGTGAGACCCTATCTCAATACGAAAAACAATCAAGCCAACCATGAGCTAGGACATCAGAAAATACTAAGTTATAAATCTCCAAAGGCTTTTCTTCTCTGTTTCACAAAGCAGATTCCCTGATGACGCCATCCCTCCCAACCTCTCAATCAGAATGTTCCCATTTCCTGATAAATAAACCTTGATCAAGTTCTGCTACATGTCAAGCAGACATTTTTCCTGGTGTCAGACATATGAAACACCCACTTGTTGCTTTGGGCCTTGAGGAATTTACTAGTTTTCCAAGTGTGTCTAAACTTTCACAAAAGCAATGGGATTTTTGTCATTTTTCCATGACACGGGGTCTCACTGTATAGTTCTGGCCTTGAACTCTCAGCAATTGTCCTGCCTCAGCTTTTCAAGTGGCAGCCACCAAGAGCAGTTGCCATGGGGAGCTTCTTAAAAATTTTTTTAAAAAATGTTCTTGGTATATTGTATCTCTCACTTTTTAAATTTTTTTTTTTTTTTTTTTTTTTTTTTTTTGTATTTTAGGGATTAAGTACAGGGTCTACAGGGTCTCACTATACAGATCTACTTGTAGTGATCCGCCTGTGTTCAGCCTCCCAAGAGCCGGGATTACAGGCACTCACCACCACGCCCAGTCTCAATTGCCATCTCAGTGCGCCCCAAGGGTGGGGCCAGCATGGCAAGCTGGGGATCGAACCCTGGCCCCTGCATCTGCCTAAGCAGGTGCTTTAATCCACTGAGCTATCTGGCCGGCCTGGTACATTTTAGATAGGCATAGTGGTGACATTTATCATAGAGAATTTTTACTTGAATGCACTAAATCTTGCTTTTTGTTTTTTCCCAACCCTTCCCCTTCTCGAGTCCCTTTTCCCCTCTTTATTTACAAAAGCTTTGTTTCTGTTTTTTTCTTCTATTCTTCTTGCCTGCCTGCCCCTGTTACCCTTCTCATTTGACATTTTCTTCTCATTTCCCAATATCCCTGTATATTTTGGCCCTTGTACTTGTGATTTTTCATGCCAGAGAGACCATGTATCATGTGAACAGGTGTCCAGTGTATTTCACTTAAGACTATGACCTCAAAACGCATCAATTTATGTAAATGTGTTTCAAGCATCCCAACTTCTTTATGGCAGAGTAGTACTCTACTGTATATATATATATATATATATATATATATATTATTTTTTTTTTAATTTTTTTTATTTTTTTATTTTTAAACTACATCTTCTTTATCTATTCATTGGTTGATGGATATTTGGGCTATTTCCAAGATTTATCTGTTACCACCTGTGCCACTATAAACATGGATGTGCATATGTCACTGTGGTCTGATGCTTTTAATTCTTTCAAGAAGATAGCAAGAAAGGGAATAGCTGCATTGAATGGAACATCTAGTTGTAGTTTTTTGAGATATTTCCACAGTGGTTGCACCAGTTCACCTTTCCACCAACACTGGAAGAAGGGTTCCTTTCGCCCCACAGCCCCACCAACTATAAAAGCCAAATGCAATAGTGTAGCTGGATTCAAAGCCAACACTCAAAAATTAGTAGTCTTCACGAACACAAGTAACAAACTCACTGAGAGAAATTAGAGAAATAACACATTTCACAATAACATCCAAAACAATGAAATACCTAGGGATCAGTACGACAAAAGAAAGTAAAGACCCCTACATTGAAAACTAGAGTACTCTGAAAAAGGAGATTGAGGAAAATATCAGAAAAGGAAGCTGTCCCTTGTTTATGGGTAGGAAGACCCAATGTAGTGAAAATGGCCATACTTCCAAAATTGTTAAACAGGTTTAATCCAATCCTGGTCAGAGCACCAATAACGTATTTCACAGAATTAGAAAAGATAACCCTAAAATTCATTTAGAATAAGAAGAGACCTAGAATAGCAAAAGCAATTCTGGGCAACAAAGGCAAGGCAGGGGGCATCACAATTCCTGAGTTGAAATTATACTACAAAGCTACTATGATTAAAATACAGCACAGTACTAGCAAAAAAAAAAAAAAAAAAAAACAAAACAACAAAAACAGACCCGAGGAGCACTGGGACAGATTAGAAGATGCAAACACAGCTCCAGACACACTCAGCTGCCTGATCTTTGACGCAGGAGCCAAACATCATCACTGGTAGAAAGAGAGTCTCTCTAATAAACGCCACTGGAAAAACTGGCTGAGCACATTCCTAGGATTAAAACTAGATCCGCATGCACTCAACTAGAAACAAAATGGATCAAAGGTCTAAATATTAAATAAAAACACTAAATCTGATGGAAGACAGACTAGGTAGAACTCCTGAAGACATTGGTATAGGCAAAGACTTTATGAACAAAACCCTGATACCACAGGAAAATGTCACAAAAAATGAATAACTAGGATCTCGTTTTATTAAAAAGCTTTTGCACAGTAAGAGAAATTACCAACAGAGTGAAGAGACAACCGACGGTGTGGGAAAGAATGTTTACCAGCTGTTCCTCAGACAAAGGATTACTGTCAAGAACATATAAAGAACTAAAAAAGTCAGACCTCCCAAATTCAAAGGCCCAATCCAAAAATGAGCATCTGAATGAATAAACACTTCTCAGATGAAGAAGTAGAAATGAGAAATAAATATATAAAAAAAGTTCAACATCACTAGTCATTCAAGAGATGCAAATTAAAACAGTGCTAAGAATCCCTCTCACTCCAGAAAGAATGGCTAGCATCAAGGCGTTAACCAACACAAAAAGGTAAAAACAATCAACCAATAACAACGAAATCTTTCTAATCTTCCTGGACCATTTCCTACCACCGCTGAGATTCTAAGAAAGGGTCATGTAAAGAGTATCATAAAGAAACTGTGGCAGAGTACACACATCACCATAGCAACCTAGAGTTTGAGCCACAGTAATTAGGTAGCCATGGTGGAAAAAGTCACTGATAGCCAACACAGGAAGAACAGGCTAAAAAGCAAGACAAACACTTCCATGTACCCAGGTAAGCCATCCTACAGAAATCCCCTATGGTTTCTGTTTTAGTTAGCCAAGGGAAAGAACTGCCTACTTTTTGACACCAGAATAACCAAGTCATTGGTCATTTTATTTACTTAAAAAATTAAAATTCAGAGCTGGCCAGATAGCTCAGCAGACTAAAGTGCCTGCTTAGGCAGACACAGAGACTGGGGTTCGATCCCTGGTATGCCGTGCTGGCCCAGCCCCCAGTGCACACTGAGGCGGTGATTGAGATTGGGCGTGGTGGTATGCACCTGTA